AGATCAAGTCCATAAATCTGATATTAGCCCATACATCCGATACCAATCTATAAAGTCCTCTTCAGACTCACGAAACACATGTAATGACACCGAATGTAGAAGATCACAGGCCAGTGGGTAGAAAGTCCTTGGATCCAGTGTCATTGGAAACACCTCAGTGCTAACAGGGGTCTCTGCATGGCTTCTCGAGCACCCAGGGCTGCCTCAGGGTGGGTTCATGTGTCTTGTCAGCTGCTATGTCTCCCAGGGTGTCTCCCACCTCCAAAGAGGAAATACCAGAATTCCCAGAATCTTTAGGGGAAGGCTATGCCCACACAGAAGCCTCATTGGCTATGATCTGATTGGCAGGCTAGACTCCACCCCTACATACTCAATCCTTAAATTGACAATTGTATAACTACCATAAAATATTAATGCTCAAATTATATTATAAAATGTTAATGATTTCCCAACAAATTTTATTTGTAAACAAATTTATTTATTTGTAAATTTGAAAAGATTTACAGACTTATGATTAATCTTTTCTTTAAATCGTTTTATTGGGGGTGCATACAACTCTTATCACAATCCATACATACATCAATTGTATAAAGCACATTTGTACATTCGTTACCTTCATCATTCTCAAAACATTTGTTCTTCACGTAAGCCCCTGACATCAGCTCCTCATTTTCTCCCCTCCCTCCCTACTCCCCACTCCCTCATGAACCATTGATAATTTATAAATTATTATTTTGGCATATCTTACACTGCCCTATGTCTCCCTTCACCCACTTTTCTGTTGTCCATCCCTAAGGAAGGAGGCTATATGTAGATCCTTATAATCGGTTCCCTCTTTCTACCCCACATTCCCTCCACCCTCCCGGTATCGCCACTCTCACTGGGCCTGAAGGGATCATCTGTCCTGGATTCCCTGTATTTCCAGTTCCTATCTGTGCCAGTGTACAGACTTATGCTTAATTTTAATGCAGCCTATATTTAAAGAGATTATATCAGCGAGTCTATTAGAAAAGAGAGTTAATGAATATTTCCAAATAAGACATTTAAAAATATATAGGCACTTTAAAAAATGTAAACAAGCACATGTTTTTCTTCTGAAATTAGTATATTCATTTTTAAAGATACACTTCCAATAGAATTTTTTCAGGAGGAACATTTTAGCATATTTAATTTTTCTCACTTGGCTCTTGTTAATGTGAATTTTCCTCACCTTTCTAAGAATTTCATCTCATGGGTACAGCTGAGGGTGCTATGCACTTGGAAAGTATTAGCACATTGACAAGGACCTCTTAACACTTAGATATCAAGATATAACAAATCTTAAAATTAAGTGAAAATAACATTTTACTAGGATAGTCTGATGATATAGGCATCTATATTTAACTCAAATTCATTCAATGGATCACTACAGGTAGCTTAAAAGCGTCATTAGTAAGAAACATGAGCAATCTAGGGCTGTTGGAGGGGTTAGCAGTACTACCACTCTGGATTTCAAAGTAATTCGCCACTTCATTTATCACTTCCAACATAGATCACTGGAGAGTAGAGGCTTCTCGTTAATCAAGTGGATTGTCTAGTACTATGAGAGATTTGGGGGAAATGGCTGAAGCATCAATATCATTGCAGGATATTAAGCCATGCTAGTATTTCTGACAAGATATAGCCTCAGGACACAATTAATGGTTTTAAGATAGCTTTCTCAGTTTTCCTATTTCAATTTGTGTTTTATGGGCAAAATATATTTACCTATTGTAAATACTCATTTCATGATTTGTTTTACTTTTTATCTCCTTTAGATATCAAACAAATGACTTTTAAGGTAGATACAGCATAATTGCTAAAATATGTTGATTTTCTTATATAGCCACCGACAAATATATAATAAAACACATCATTATTTTTGCAATTGTATTTCGAGAGTGAAGTTTTTACATTTTCTTCTCTTCATGTTTTTGATACTACTAAAGCTATAGAAAGACTCATGTTCTGCTTCAAAAGATTTGTTTTCTTCCCTATTTTCTTTACTGCTTCAATTCTGTTATTTCCCCTTTATATATGGTGCTTCTTAATATTTTACAGTTAACTCAGGTTTGATGAAATTCTAGGGACAGCAAGTAAAATAAGGGTTTGGGGGTGGGGTGGTAAAAGGGAACCGATTCCAGGAATCCAGGAAGGAAAAGAATGTGTGGAAACTGTGATAGCAGCTGTATAACACTGCTGGATGTGATCGAACTATAGAATGGATGATATATGTATTGATTCCCAATTAATAATAATTTAATGAGCATTTTCATAGAAAATTTTTAAAATTTAGATATTTTGAGAAAGTGTATTTTTTTCTTTCTTACAGGACAGATGTTTATAATTCCCTTTCACACAGTAATGGTTTCCATGCACTTGGGAACCCTGTGAGCAGAGAATCACCTCCCAAACGTTCAGTCTTGGCCAGTGGTGCAAAGAAATCTGTATCTGAACTTACGTCTACAGATTGGCATTGAGTTAATGTTTATTCCTATGTTAACTGAGTTAACAGTAATTAACAATTGGGTTAGTAAAGATAGCTGTTATTGGGGAATTTGGATTAGTAACCAAATAATCATTGGATATATATATGAAGTTTTACTTCAGTAACGATCTCTAGTCTCAAATGTCTTCACTGAAGGACTTAAGGACCTCATGAGGTGATTTGCTATGCAAACTCCTCGTTTTGCTTTCTCCAGAAATAAAGCACCACAATTACATGGGTTGGTGAGAGACCAGAACGTCTGTTACGCATTGTGGTTAGGTGCCATCCAGGCAGTTCGGACTCACAGTGACCCTGTGCACCACAGCATGAAACACTGCCAGGCCCTGCATCCGCCTCACCATCGGTCATTTTAGCTCATTGTTGAAACCACTGTGTCAGTCCCTCCCTCCCTTGATGGCTTTCCTATTTTCACCATCTACACAGTATTGCCTGTTAAATTGGCAGCCCTTTCCGTTGGCAATTGCTAAAGAATTCAGAGAAGAATGCACAACTTTGTCTTTCTTTTATCTTTCTTCAAGAAAGGGCCACATATCTTACTACTGATTTTAACTTTGTTTGAGCCAGTAAAGATTATAGCCTGTAAAACCATATGGGGTACTTCATTCTGTCGTACAGTGCTACGAGTTATAAGTCAGAAATCAATGATACCACACAACAGAGAAAAATTAAGAGATATTTTTCAGCCTTGAGTTTATATTTAAAATTGTAATAAGAATAAAATATATTGATTTAATGAAGGTATTAAATATGTCTAATAAATGAAAAAGATTTCTAGTCTCAGAAACCCACAGGGCAGTAGCTCTACTTTGTCCAATAGTGTTTCAGATGGCAGTGAAACAGATAAATAGATAGGTTGATAGTGAAATATGCAACATTATTGAAATTTAATACAAAATTATTATGATTATAAAATAATACAAATTTATTGAAATTATATAGCTATATTTATTCCATTATTAAGAATATTACAAACCTGACATTTCATGTAGTTTGCCTTTTTATGATAATCATATGTTTAAGTAATCTAAGTATTCCCCATGGGTAAAGGAGAAATGAATCAATTTATCTTTACCAGTGTACATACAAGATTAATGTAGCCATTTCAGAAGTTCAAAGAAGCTTCAAATGCTAACATGTGGCTGGCTTTTTGTAACACAGAATTCAACATTCAACTGGCCGCTATGGAAACTGAGTGGAGAATATGGTAGATCTCTTGATGACAAAGCTCCTGAGTTGTTAGGATTTTGTACTTCAAAATGACAAAGCTCATGACAGGTTCGATTGAACAATTAAATCCCAACAGACAATCTGAATTCGGGAGATGAGAAATAATGAGCAGCACTGGTATTTTGAATTTTCCATAGAGCACTATTGATATATAGCTTTCATCCTGCTTTGTAATTCTCGCTGGATTTATTGCATTTCATATCAGAGCTTGAACATCCTGTAAATGGCACTGCATGTCCTAGAATAATAAAAATGTTGTAAAAATTGGATATTTAATGAACTTGCTGGGTATGATTGTAAATTACTTAGCTTCCTGCCACCTGCTTTAATTAGCACATTGGGCCTAGTAAATTCAATCGAACATCGTTATAGAATACCTACCTGTGATTACCTGACTGATATTTGTCATTGCTACTGTAGAGCAATAAGGTGAATTAATACGCCAATTAATTTGATGCCTCTTCTGGGTATGTTTTTAATATATTTTGTAATTTGTAATTTTGTAAAAAAAAGGATTATATTCCAAGGGATGGGAAAATTTATGCCTTTGCTTTTTAGAATTAATTAAATACATACACATACTTTCTTTAATGACATAATCTTTGAATTGAGTTAGTAATATAACTTAATAACTGTTTGTGTGACACTTTGCAATAAAATATTGTTGTGAAGGATATTTCAACTGTAATACTGAAGTGAAATTCAAAGTCAAAAAAGATACATTTCCTGTTTTTTATGAGCTTAATACATTATAAAGAACTATTACAGTATTTGTTACAAACCAATTTCCTATCTGGTTGTCTGAAACTATGAATCTTTCAATATTTCCCCATTTATCTGTTTGTGTGTTCTTATTTTTTCATGATGAATTAGGTGAAAGTGTGCAGAGCACATCATCAGTTTGGAATTTGACAATTCATACACATTTTATTTCAACTCAACCATGGTCATTCCCTCAATGCACCTTCATGTGTCCCACTTCCTTTCTGTGTTTTCTATTTGTACTCCTCCTCCTCTCCTAACCCTCTAAACATTGCCCTTGGTTAATGTTAAATTGTTGGTTATTCTCACATGTGGCTAAGTTATTACCTAAAGAGTGACTTCAGGCCCACGGGTCCCACCGGTCTCTATCTGACTTCTAAGCCTGTCCCACATTTTTTCACCCACATTATACATGATCTCCTTATGTGATCCTCTTCAGAGTTGGTTGTGATAGCTGGGCACCATCTAGTTCTGGTCTGAAGGTGATGGAGACCAATACTTACATGTCCACTGGAGTAATTCTTTCCATTTACCTTCCCTTTTTCATCACTCTTGCTTTCCATTGGACAGGGAGGGATGAGTCATTGAAAATTCGATGACTGATCATGAGCTTTTAAGAACCAAGTGACTACTAAGCAGAACAGTAGGTTGAACATTGTTTTTATGAACTATGGTTATACGAAATTATTTTGATGTCCCCTGTGAGTATAGTCCAGATGTATTAGGCCCAGTGACTCATTCCTTGAAGGTTTTCAGTTATGCCTTCTTCTAAGACACAACCTTTTTAATCTGTTTGAAAGGCAGAATTCAAGCATAATCAGTTAATTCAAATTATCCAAGAAAGTAAAAATAGTCTCACACAAATAAATGTGAGACAGCTAGCTATATTAAGAAATCAGCAGTAACATGAATGATCGAGTTATTGACATTGAATAAAATTCATTTTAAAATTATTTTCCATTTATTTATTTTCTTCCTTTTTTGTAGGTAGCAATTATTGCCAACTACATAATGGTGGATGCTCTCAGCTTTGTTTACCAACATCTGAAACTACAAGGACTTGCATGTGTACAGTGGGATATTATCTTCAAAAGAACCGCATGTCATGTCAAGGTATTAAGTCTTGAAATTTATTCCCTTTAATGCATTTACTTCATCTGCCCTTAGATATCATAGGATCCCAGGTAGTGAAGTGAATTGCACAGTGGGCTGCTAAATCCCCAGCCATTCCAAGGGAAAGAGATGAGGCTTTCCACTTCCATAAAGACTCCTTGTCTCAGACCCCTGGGGGCAGTAATGCTCTGTCCTATAGGGTTGCTATGAGTCAGAATTCACTCATTGGCAATGTTATTTTTGTTTTTAGAGGGAGGAGGGGTATGCTGTATGTCAAAAGATTTATGTGACCAGTCGATTTAAAATATATCGAGTATGAGCTTATTAATTTATTGGTACCTTGAATAGCATACTTGTGTAGGATTTTGAATATTTATCATACTTAAATAGGTAAAAGTCTTTCTAAGAATTTCTACATCTTACTTATTTTCAGGAAATAAAATTTGTTACCAAAACTTTCACAAAATCTAGTAGCAATCACCATTGAATAGTCCAAAATGGAAGTAAAATGCAAAAGTAAAAAAAACAGGAATTAATGCCCAACTTGGATTAATTTATTATAACTTCCTTCCAATGATGTTTTCTTATTAAAGTATGAGAGAGACTCTGAGGTCTCAGTATGTAGCTCAGGGAGAAGAGTAGTGAAAAAGAAGTCAAACTTATGAAATCCATCTTCCTTTGTCCTCATCCATAGTATCTGGTTTTATTCTTCCAAAGAATGCTGGCTCTCAAAGGATCATTCCTTCCAGTGATCCCAGTTCACTTTATATTAAATAATAATCCTATCTTATAGAAGATAGATTAATGTAGTTTTTCCACAATAGATTATTTTATCTGTTATAAATATTTAAATTCATTACTGTGAGTGAAGCATGATTCCAAGCCCTTTACTTATATTAGCTCACCTATTCCCCAAAATAACTTTCAATGAGGAGTCTATTATTACTGCATTTTACAGATGAGGAAACTGAGATACAGAAAAGTTAAGCAATTTGCCGAAGTCAACTATTAGAAAATCCATATGCCTCAGTGTGGGTTTGGGCAGTGCACACACACACACACACACACACACACACACACACTTGTATTGGATGCTGAGAAACAATGTCATTAACAAAAAATGAGTGTCTAGTTTATTTTGGATGTTAAAAGTCATTGAAGAGGTCCATCTGTCCCTTAGAAACATAAGATGTAAGGACATAGAAGTGCTATCATTAGAGGGAAAAGTGGAGGGAAAGCAGCATATAACTCAAATCAAAGTTTATCTTCAGGTCTAAGCAATGAGGAGCTTAGATTTCAGAGCAGAAAGAGTTGAAGTTCATTGGAAAATCACATGTGCCTCCATGGGGAGGCTTAAGCAAGTGTGTTCCCTGGGCCGGTAGCATAATCAACCCTGAAAACTTATAGAAATTATTGGATCCTATTAAGTATGCAACTTGGAGCAAAGACTGGCAACCTTTGCTTTAACAAAATCCTCTAAGATACTCAAGTTTGAGCACTACTCATCCACCCACAAGGCCACCTGGTGAGCCTGTGGGTTAGGTGTTGGGCTACTGACCCAAAGGTTGGTGCTTCCAACCACCCTGAGCCTCCATCCGAGAAGGAGGAGACTCTCTGCCTCCAGAAAGACGACAGTTGGGAGACCCTAAGTTTCTACTCTTTCCTCTACGTAGTCCTCTGAGTCAGAAGGAACCAGATGGCCCCAGGAAATCTATATACCTTTCCCCGGGTCAGCAAGTATGGCATAGGATTTTTTTTAAGATTTGTAAAATTTACAAAAGTAAATTTAGAGTATTAAAAGAAAATTAATCAAATTAGTTTTAGTGTTAAATAGTCATTTTGCATTCCTCCCACCCCACTACAGGTATAGAGTCCTTTCTTATGTACTCGGTGCATGAAGGAATCAGGGGAATACGTCTGGAGCCAAGTGATAAGATGGATGCTTTGATGCCCATATCCGGAGCTTCATTTGCTGTGGGAATAGATTTCCATGCAGGTAAAAAGCTTTTTATTCATCATTTATGTATAATGTACACGCGATTTATTTAATAAGATGGCATTATAATCTGATAGTCAAATGAGATACATGGATGGAAATGAGAGATAGATTTTTCCATCTATCACTAATTCTTCTAAACATGTTTTAGAGAAAAAGATTTGAGTAGAAATGTCTGCACATATAGCACTTCAACCATAGGTTAATTAATATGTCATGAATGACATTTGGCTGCTTCAATTTTGTTTCTCTTTCTCTCTTTTTTTATTAACAACAGAAGAAAACCCATGGGGGCTTCACCTGGTTACTCAAGGGGGCGGGGCGGTTTCCATCTCCACACCAGTCTAAGGCGTGCTATCACTTACAGAGGTCAGACATGCCTCCACCCTCTAGCCCAGTGGTTCGCAACCTTCCTGATGCCACACCCCTTTAATACACTTCCTCGTTTTTGGTGACCCCAACCATAAATTTAATTTTGTTGCTACTTCATAAATGTAATTTTGCTATTCTTATGAATCATAATGTAAATATCTAATATGTAGGATGTATTTTCATTGTTACAAATTGAACATAATTAAAGCATTGTTATTGATCACAAAACAATATATAATTATATATTGTGCAATATTTATGTG